GTCCCTTGAGAGCTTTGTACTGACACTGAATGGGGCTCATTAATACTTTGAGATACTCAAGGTTTTTGAGGTGCTTTGAATTTTCCTTTCTACACTGAGTCTCTGAAAAGTTTTTTGTGCCATCCTGGCCTCCAATTCTCTCTTCCAAGGAGTCCGTGAGGAGCCTGTATTGGGGATGGACCTCAGTGGGACCCATTCAGGCTTTGAGACACTCTGGGTGTTTCTTCTGACTTTGACTCCTGGAAAGGTTTGTGCAATCTCCTCTCAGTCCCTGAGGTTCCAGGGCTCAGCTCCAAATGCACCACGGGGCTCATGAGGATCAAGCAAGTCCTGACAAACCATGACTCTGCCTTCATTTCCCTCTCTCTCTTGCAGTTCATCAGGAAGGTTTCTGTAGTGGTTTTGATTCGCCACTTTGAGATTTCTTGGCCAATGCATAAAGTAGTGTGGTGTGTTCAGTGTTGGCAAATTTCCAATGCACTCACTAGGATATACTTACTCATTTCCTCCTCTGAAATATTATTAGGAGAAAGGCAAAGTTTATTAATAGTAACTAAAAGAAAGAGCAGTAAGATCAGAACAATACTTTCAGAACACTTCTCCTCTCCCTACAACCGCTTCCTTCTTCCTGACAATGTAAAGATATAAAACCGAAAATTTTCCATCAATTTACCACCTCTAGAATAGTTTTCTTCAGTACACTTAGGGAGAGGAGTCTCTCTTTCATGGTATGGAAACTTCTCCATAAGAAAAGTTTTCTCATGGCTCTCAATTTTCAATTGCCACGAAGAGCAGCTACCCAGAAAATCTGGAATCGTCAAGTCCCCCCCATTTTTCACAGCTTTTCCCACAGCTGTGTTTATGGGCCATGCCAACTTATGGGGTATTAGTTTAAAGATGAGCTGTTTAACAGCAAAGTTTCTCTTCATCTATTTCTGAAATCATCTTCATCTCTGAGAACAGAGATCTTTTTCTTCTCTCCCTGAGGGCACAGGTTCTCATCACTCTCCTCTCTTTCTCTGTTGAAACTTCTCATGGGATCACAGCTACTTCAATATTTGCTTACTTTACCACGGAGGCCTTTACAGAACAAGTCATCTCCCCATACTTTTCAATGTGTGCTCCTCTTCTTACTGACAGCTAAAGGGAAGGGGCAGGCACACACTCAGCTCCCACCTTCATCCGGAACACCTTCTTCCCGCTGCGGATGGCGTTGTCTTCAAAAGAAAACTCATTTTCCCGGATGACCGACCGGCTCTCCTTGTCCCCCGTGTAGGTCACAACGTAGAAGTCAGGTGCCCACATCTCAAACTCACGCTCCCAGTTGATGATGGTGGAGAGGGGGGCACTGACTAGGTACGGCCCTTTGGAGTGGCCCTGCTCAGGAAGACAGAGCCCAGGCTGTTCTCCCCGTTCCCAGCAGCTCTCAGCCACCTCGGGGACTGCTGGGTGCTCCACTCACCTCCTTGTACAGGGAATACAAGAACACAATAGTCTGCACCGTCTTCCCTAGCCCCATCTCATCAGCCAGGATTGTATCTGTCCCTTGTGCCCAGGAGAATCTCAGCCAGTTCAGCCCTTCCAGCTGGTAAGGGTGCAGCGTGCCTCCCGTGGCATCAATGTACCAGGGCTGCTTGTTGGCAGAATCTTGGCCGAGCCGGCCCGGCCCGGGGCTGCTCCTGGGGCCCGGCGGATCCTGGCTGGGCCCGGGCTGGCGGCGGGGCAGGGCTCGGTAGCGCCCAGCTGTTGGCAAGCGCAGCCATGGCCCGGCCCGGCCTCGGCCCCGCGGCCTCCCCTGCCCTGCCCGGCAGCCGATGGGGCCTGGGGGGCTCCCTGGGAAGGGGCCCGGCCCCACGGCAGGAGCCACCCGGCCCGGCCCGGCTGAGACGGGGGCTGGGCCAGCCTTGTTACCTCTTTGCTGGCCAGAAGGGAAAGAGACCCTGCCAGGCTTTCTCGTCTTTAACATGTGTCTTCACAGAGGTGTGTAGAGTTTCCTTTGTGGTGTAACAGATTGTCACTTCTCAAAGCTAATTACTGATTGGTTTTTGCTCAGTTTTTTTGTCAGACACGGAGGAAACTGCTAGCGGCTCCTGTTAGAACATCACTTCCATGATGCAAAACCACCACAACAGCACAGAGCTCCTTTGTCCGTATATAGTGGTCATGTGCCCGAGGCATCAAAACCCCTCCTTGGGAGATCCCTGGGCCCTCTACAAGGTGTTTTCAAATGAAAGCATTCAACTCAGTGTCTGAGAAAATCACCAGAGGGCAGGGCCAGCCTGACCTGTCTGTCCTGGCTACTTTTGTCTGGGAACAATCCCCGGATATACGGAATTTGGGAGGCCAAATTTTAATTTTTGCTGTGGCCTCTATGCAAGAAGGCCCATTCTTTTCCACAAGAGGGAAGGAACAGAGCCCCAGTATTTCAGGGGCAGATGAGAGGCGACCACCAGAGGCTAAGGCCAGCCAGAGCTGGCAGGATTTTTTCGAGGGGATACCTTTGCATTTAGGAGATTTTTTTAGGGAGAGTACCAAGTTTGGCAATGGGCATCTGAAAAGAAGGAGTGTTCTTTTCCATAGCAAGGAAAGCACA